GAAGAAGCGGGTGCGCAGTAAGAAGAAGAAAGAGCAACCTCCTCAGGTAGCGGCAGCCACCTCTACCCCTACCCCAGCGGTAACGATGGCCCAGGCGCAGGTTACAGAAAGGATAACCACCAAGAGTAGAGCCCCAGGAAGGGCTCTATCAGAAAATAGAGCCCGCTCTACACAAAGAGCACGCTCTACCCAAGGTAGAGAAGGTAGAGCAGAATTACCGACACCACACCCGAGGACAGTACCAGCAACAACAAGTGCAAGAAGAACACCAACAGCTGCCCCAGACATGACAGATGCCATCCAGAGACTGGTTGGCATCGCTATAGAAGTGGGCAGCCAAGTCCTGGCGGACATAAGAGCCGGGACGGACCCGATTACAGCTATCATGAAGGCTTTGGCGCAGCTACTGGCTCGGCACTACAGTGGTGTCGTGTAACCCGGATAACCTGCGCCTCCTATACTGGAACCCGGACGGAATCCAGCAGAAGATACATGAACTCCGCACTATCGCCCAACAGCAGGACATACACGTAATACTGTTGGGCGAAACGAAGCTGAGACCTGCGACGCGCATAAAGCTGCCGAACTACTTTATATACAGGAGGGACGAGGTCAACGCTCAAGGAGTCGCCTACAGAGGTACGGCGGCTCTAGTAAGAAGAGACATCGTCCACCTAGAGCTGGAACCACCTCAGTACCAAACTATGCGCTCAATCGGCATAAAAATGGAGGCGGCGGGCGAGGAACTAAGGATATACGCAGCATACCGCCCGCCAGGGACTCCATTTTGCTCCTCAGACATCCGGACAATAATGGAAGGTGAAACACCAACCATTATAGCAGGGGACCTAAACGCGAAACACCCGGCATGGGGATCAAGAATGATCACCCCGCCGGGTCGTGCTCTTTACGATGATGCGGAATTAAACAACTACGACGTATTAAGTCCCGAAGAGCCGACGCATATTCCAGCCGATCACCGGAAGAGTCCGGATGTGCTGGACATCGTGCTCACTAGGAACATCAACTGCCCGATAGTGGTAGAGGTGCTGTACGACGCGGACACACAGCACCTCCCGCTATTAATCACCTTAGGCCTCAGGGCAGTGACGTCGCCTCCCAGAGCCTTCAAGACTAAGATCAACTGGAGGCTCTACCAACAACATCTACTGGAGAGACCTCCAGTAACAACACCGATCAACACAGCGGACGACGTAGAGGCCGCTGCAACCAGAATTACTAAGACGATCACAGAAGCTCTCAACGCAGCCTCTACGATCGTCCCACTTACCAAAAAGAAAGAAGAGCTGCCACAAAAATTACAAATTCAGCTGAGGAAAAAGAGAGCATTAAGGAGGCTTTGGGCGCGTACGCGCTGTCCAAAAATCAAGTCGCAACTCAACACCTTATCAGAAGAGCTGTCGGTTGCAATCCAGGCCCACAGAGGAGAGGCCTGGGAGCGGCGCATATGGAAAGCAGAGGAGGAAGATGCGTCGCTCTACAAATTGAACCGGCAGCTGACAAAAACAAGATCACCAGTATGCGCACTATTAAGTAGTACTGGAGAGAGATGCTATGAGGCCAAGGAAAGAGCGGATATCCTAGCTGAGCACTTCGAGGAACAGTTTATGCCGAATCCAGCAAGTGCGGAGTTCATGGAGCTTCATACCCAAAAGGAGAGCCGCGTACAGGAGTTCCTGTCGTCGCCCTCGCCAACGCTTGCAGGAGAATGGTTTATTTCTCCCACAGAATTGCGGAGGACGATTAACCGCCTGCAAGTGAGGAAGGCGCCGGGGCACGACCGGATCACGAACGCAGCACTCAGACAGCTGCCAAACAGAACCACCGTAGAGTTAGGAAAACTCTACAATGGCATTCTGCGGACTTCCCACTTCCCGGAGAGCTGGAAAATCGGCAAAATCATCGTCTTGCCAAAACCCGGGAAGGACAGGCGTAGAGCAGCTAGCTACAGGCCGATTACGCTGCTACCGCACATAGCCAAACTGTTCGAGCGCATCATATTAAGAAGAGTCCGCCCGTGCATACAACTGCGGGCGGAACAACACGGATTTCGGAGCGGACACTCTACAGCTACACAGCTGACCAGAGTGCTGCACCTATTATCGACGGAGTACAACTATGAGAGAACGTCTGTGGGCGTCTTCTTGGACATAGAGAAGGCGTTCGACAGGGTGTGGCACTCTGGACTACTCTTCAAGATGAAACAACAAACGAGTGTCCCTCCTGCTATGCTGCGGCTAGTGGCGTCATTTCTAGCTGACAGAAGCTTCTACGTCTGTGTAGAGGATGCCGAGTCCGCAGTCAAGCCAATTAGAGCCGGCGTACCACAGGGCAGCTGTCTCTCGCCGATCCTGTACGCGGCATATACCAATGATATACCGACGCTGGCTGGACAACTGCAGGAATGGGAGGACGACGTAGAGCTGGCGCTATACGCGGACGATAGTGCCTACTTCACGTCGTCCAGAAGAGCCCACATCGCGGTTGTCAAGATGCAGCGCCTGCTGGACCTGCTGCCACCATGGCTGGATGAGTGGAGGATGGCTGTCAACGTGGGAAAGACGGCCGCTCTACTCACCCGCCGTTACAGAAATCTACCACCACCATTGAAGCTAAGAGGCCAAGAGATCGCGTATCAGAAGGCCGTAACCTACCTTGGATGCCGGATCGACAGGATGCTGCGCATGACTGCGCACGTCGACATCGTCGTCCGCAATGCCAGATGTGCGCGGGCGATGCTCCGTCCAGTCCTGGCATCCAAGCTGCCGATGAAAACAAAGATTACTCTATATAAGACGTATATTCGTCCGAGGCTAACATACGCCGCTCCGGCCTGGTACGCGCTCTTGAGCAGCAGACAGAGGCAGCGGTTGCAGGTCCAGCAGAATCAATCACTAAGGACCATTGTCGGTGCAGGTCGCTACGTCCGGAATGACGTCATAGCGGCCAACCTGAAAATGGAGACAATCGAAGAGTTTGTGGTCCGGTTGACGCGCGGTATGTTCGACCGCGCAGACAACGGGCCACATCCACACCTTAACAACTTTGCGCCGCTACATACTCGCCCCCCGGACGGGCGACCTCTACCAAGAGAACTCCTCTCTACAAGAGATTAGAGAGTCGAGTAAAGCCCGCAATGCCATTGACAGGCCAACTTTGATGCCTAGGTCGAAGCAGCCGCCTATACGGCGACTTACCCGACCTAGCTAAACTAACTAACTAATAAACAAGACAACCAACAATGCCGGATTACCGGCTCCCAATGACCGGCCCATAGAAATGGGCCGTGAGGACTACCCGGGTAATGGGGAAGATGCCCCGAGGCCCGAGACCTGCTGGGTGTAGTACACACACCGCAGCAGACGACAACGTAGTAGTAACATTGTAGTAGGAAGAACTACCAGTAACAAGCAGTAGTATCCGGTAGTAGCTGAAGTGTCTAGTAGCAGAACACAGTGAAAAGTTATAGTGAAATAGAAAAAGTTTAGCTAGCCGAAAAAGGTCGTAACTGAAAAATCGCAGTTACACATAGTCGGAAAAAGTGGCAACTGAAAATTCTCAGTTGCATATAGTAAAATAGTGTTAGCTAGCTGAAAAGAGTGGTAACTGATATTCGCAGTTACATATAGTGAAAAAGTGTTAGCTAGCCGAATAAAGTGGTAACGGAAATTTCGCCGTTACATATAGTGAAAAGTGTTAGCTAGACGGAAAAAGTGGTAACTGATATTCGCAGTTACAAAAGTGTTAAATTCAACTAATTTTAGTTGATTAATAGCTGCTAGTCAGTAGTGTTAAAAAACCAGCTGCTACCAATAGATATTTTTGATACTACCAATAGAAATTTGTTACTTCCAATAGATATTCAAAATTACCAATAGATATAGTAGAAAATACCAATAGAAACTTGTTACTGCCAATAGAAATTTGATATTACCAACAGATATTTTGAAAATACGAATAGAAATTTTGAAAAACCAATAGAAATTTTAATATTACTGTGTGTTTAATTAAATCTGTGTTTTGAAATATATAGTGAACAACCATAGTTGAACAACAGTGTTCAATAAATAAATAAGTTATAATATTTCGCAACTAATTAATCAGTCGAACCGCTGGCCACTCCCTTGCTATTTTAATTTATAAATCGTGCATTTTTAATTCTGAACCTCAGTCCACAGTTCTCCAACAGCATACACAAAGGCGGTAGTGAAAGTATCCTCCAGAACCTATAGGTGTAGGACGTGAGCGGCTCGCGGAGTATCTTCGACAACATTTACTCCGGAGAGTTACGCCCGTCCGGCACATTCGTTGGTCCTTCGAGCCGGATACTTCCGTTTATACTCCGAGCCGAGGCCAACATTCGTTGGTTCTTCGAGCCGGATACTTCCGTTTATACTTCGAGCCGAGTCCAGTATTCGCTGGTCGTACAAGCTGAATACTTCCGTTTATACTTCGAGCCGAGTCCAGCATTCGCTGGTCGTACGAGCTGAATCCCTTATCCGTTTGTATTTCGGAACCGGATACATAGACACTACCGTATTAAAGTCAACAGAATTTTCAGAATCAAGATGCCGATCACTCGTTCGCAAGGAAGGGGAGCCATGGCGTGGACCGTCGGTCTGGAAGGAGGCCCGTCGGACAATACCGACGCCGTCCGCCACCAGATGCCACCACGCTCACCATCGACCACAGAGGGCGCTGAGGCGCCACCTTGCCCCCGCGATGGGGGGGTACTCCTGCCCGTGCCGGCCGCTACAACCGGTACACCGAAGCAGATGAAACATATAGAGGGCAACGATGACATCCGATGTGCATCACCGCCAACAGTCCGGGAAGACTCCCGCACTGAAGAGCCACCCAGGGGCCACCGAGATAAAAGTATAAAGTCAAAGAGGACTATTCGGCCCAATAAAAAAGTTTTGAAGGCTCGTGAAGAAGTGCTGAGAATTAAATTGGAACTCGCACAAATTTCCTTGTAAATGGCTGAGGAAGAAGATGATTCGGACGACTATGATGAAGATGGTCACTCTAAAAGCGAGTACGTCCGATCTTGGCTCGAAAATTCCGTAGCCAAGCAAAAGCCAACTCATGGCGTCGCCACCGGAGGGGAGGTCCCACTAAAGAAAACCGTCACAAGGCCACCCCCGGAGGTTGTCGACCTCAGTGAGCCGCAAAAGAAGCTCACAAACCATGGTTCGAAGGTTGATGAAGAAAGGGGGCTCCTACCAATCGTATCAGAGCCCACCTACCAGGATCACGATCCGGAAGATGTAACCAAGAATCCTGTGCCACTAAAAATTAGCCAGGACTCGAAGGTTGATGAAGACAGGGAGCTCCTACCAGCTGTATCAGAGCTCACCTACCAGGATCCCTATCCGGCAGATGTAACGAAGAATCCCCTGCCAACGAAGCCTAACCAGGCATCTGTCATAAATGAAGACAGAGGGCTCCAACCATTTATATCGGAGCTCACATCCGCTATAGCCGCACTCGCTGACAAACCAAAACCAGAGAGTGTATCGTCGCATACTTTCGCAGCGTCGAAAGCTATAATGACACTGCCGTGCTTTAGCGGAGCACATACCGAATGGCTATCGTTCCGTGCCATTTATGAAACAACCCGAGGCTACTTCAAAGATATCGAAAATACTGCAAGACTACGAAGAAGTCTACAGGGAAGAGCCTTGGAGACAGTTAGTTCAGAACTCATCGGGCATGCTAAGCCGGATGAGATCATGCGAGAACTGGAGCTACAATTTGGGCGTCCAGACTCAATTGCACAAGCTGAAACCGAGAAGTTACGAGGATTGCCACGCTGTACAGAAGCGCCTAGAGATATTTGCACATTCGCAAGCAAAGTGAGGGGAAGCGTCGTCACTCTACGGGCACTCAAACGAGACCATTATCTCATCAACGCAGAGCTGCTACGACACCTCACAGATAAATTGCCCAATTCTATACGGGCACAGTGGTATAAAGTTTATACCGAAAAATACGACTCTAGGCCAGACCTCGGTTCCTTCAGCGAGTTTATCACCGAACAAGCTCGCTTCTGTAGTGCATTTGCGCCTCCCGAAATCATAAACGGGGCGCAGAACAATCGTTCAATACACAGAACGCACACGGCAACAACTAAGCCGTCTCCAAAATGCAGTGTGTGCCAAAAGGAGGGTCATTACGGATCCGACTGCAGAAAATTTAAAGAAGCAGATATCGATAAAAAATGGGAAATTGCAAAACAAAGCAATTTATGTTTCCGCTGCTTACGATACAGAAATCAAACACATAAATGTAAAATCAATAAGTGTGGTATAAAAGGATGCACCGCGACACATAATAGGCTTCTCCACCGCAATAAAAAGGAGAAAACGGAGGTCACACAAATAGAACCTCAGGAAACAGTTGCAAATTCATTCGCCGTGTCAAAGCATCACGCCTATTTAAAAATAATACCAGTCCGAGTAATTGGACCGGCGGGAGCTGTAAATACACACGCCCTGCTGGATGATGGGTCAACAGTCTCATTAATGGATGAGGAAATAGCCAAACAAATTGGAGCAACAGGGCGGTTGGACCCCTTTAAGATCACCGCCATCGGGAACAATACCCTCGATTCGCCGAACTCCCGAAGAGTCAAGGTTTCACTGAAGAGTCTCCAAAGGAAAAGGGTGCCATTCAGAGCACGCACGGTCGCCAGCCTAAATTTGGGGCCACAGACTGTGTGTGCAACAGATATAGAAAATTGTAGACATTTAAAAGACCTGAAGGAGCAATTAATATATGACTCCGGCAATCCAAAGATCTTAATAGGACAAGATAATTGGAGACTCCTGATAGCCACTAAAATTCGCAGAGGTCCGCCGCACCAACCAATCGCCTCGCTCACAGAATTAGGATGGGTGCTACACGGGGCACACACTAAAGCCCCGTATCAGCGCGTCCACGCGGCCAATGAGCTGCACACGAGCGAGGAAACCATAAATGATCATAGTAAAATGGATGACTGGCGCTGGGTACCTACCAAATCAAACATAGCTGACACCGCTACGAGGGACGTACCACCTAACTTCGACTCGAACCACGAGTGGTACAACGGCCCATCATTTCTTTACAAAGAACCGTCAGCATGGCCGACCGAAAGACCCACGTCATCCGAACCCACCGGTGAGGAAAAATGCCTCACCATTACAGAATCACATAGAGCCTCGGTAATAAGAGAAGCCATCCCAAATCCAGCAAAGTTTTCGAAATGGGAACGCTTATTGCGAGCGACGGCCAGAGTGCTTCAATTTATTACACTCTGCCGTAAAACAACAGACAGGACCTTCTACAAAAGGACTAATAGGAATGAAGAAAAAGATCCCGACTGGAGGAAAGCGAAAACTAATCCGCAACACCGCACACAGTCCTCCAGTCTAAGAAAAACCGCAGATGTCAAAAGGCACATCACACTCGAGGCCGAATTCATCAGAGAGGCCGAAAGGCTCCTAATACGCGTCATACAAGGGGACTCCTTCAGACAAGAAATAGACGATCTCCGTAACGATAAAAAGGTCGCCCATGATAGCCGCCTAAGACCACTACAGATAGAATTAAAAGACGGGATCATCGCGCTGCGAAGTCGCATAGCCGCCGCGAAGGGAGTCTCTAAAGATATGAAAGGTCCGGCTATATTGGATGGTGATCATTACATCACCCAATTGTACATAGACTGGACGCATCGTAGCCTACATCATTGCGGAACCGAACCTACAATTAACGAGGTTCGACAACATTACTGGGTTATAAGACTTAGACCCACAACGAAACGAATAGTGAGCCAATGCGTACCATGTCGCATCAGAAAGGCGCAACCATCTGTGCCAGCCACCGGTGATCATCCCAGCACACGTCTCGCTCATCACCAGAGACCGTTTACTTTCACCGGTCTGGACTATTTTGGGCCACTCTCCGTCACAGTGGGACGGCAACATCAGAAAAGATACGTGGCTCTCTTCACCTGCCTCACATCTAGAGCTGTCCATTTGGAAATTGTTGCAAATCTCAGCGCAGACTCCGCAATATTAGCTTTGAGACGATTTGCAGCGCGCCGAGGGTGCCCCACCGAAATTCATTCAGATAACGGCACCAACATGCACGGCGCAGATAAGGAACTTCGGGAGGCTTTTAAAGAAGAAGCCAGCCGACGAGGCATAGTGTGGCGTTTTATAACCCCCTCCGCGCCTTTCATGGGAGGGGTATGGGAACGTCTCGTACGATGCGTGAAGACGGCACTATACACCGTCCTTCACGAAAGACATCCACATGAAGAAGTCTTAGCCACGCTGCTCTGCGAGGTGGAGTATACAGTAAACAGTAGACCATTAACTCACATCTCCGTGGACAGCAACGACAACGAATCCATCACTCCAAACCAATTCCTCTTGGGAGGATCTGCGAGACTGCCGACACCTGGAGTATTTAATGAAAAGGACATAAATAGCAAAAGGCACTGGCGACGCTCTCAGATACTCGCTGATATGTTCTGGCAGCGTTGGGTCAAAGAATATCTACCGGAACTTCAAAACCGGCGGGAGGCCCATGGTCGAGGCCCCGATCTCCAGGTGGGCGATCCAGTCCTCATTGCTGACGGCCAGTTACCTCGTAACACCTGGCCACGAGGAAGGATTGAAACTGTGTACCACGGTGCGGACGGACAGATCCGCACTGTGCAGGTACGCACCATAAACGGCCTAATCAAGAGGCCAACCAGGAAACTCGTGCCGCTGCCGAAGTAGATGCAACGTCGCTCACCGAAATGGATGCAGCGCCACTACGATGAGATCTTCGCGACGCTGCACGGCGGCAGAGATGTTCGCGACGGTTTTAAAGACTTTAAGCAAAAGTGATGAAAAAATATTAAATTGTTTAAAAAGTGAAATTAATAACAAAATCGAGCGAATTATGTATTAATATAGGTTTACAATGTGTTTACAATTCTTAATATACTTGGATAGCATGTCGTTTTTAATAATAGTTAATATAAACAACTTTAATCATTTAATAAAATTTCGACCAATCACAGCGTAGCATATCGTGGAACTTTCTAGAAGTTAATTAACTGCGCAATAGTTTATATGAAAATAATAAGAATATTTTTGTGTTCTGAGAGAATTGTAAATATGATATTTAGTTAGCATATGGTGTATAGATTGCAATAGTAAAGAGATAATTTATGTAAATAAACGCTTTTGATAAATATAGTAAAATTAAAGATTTAATATGCACATTTGTTATGTAAATTTGGTACATTTTGATTAATAACTTTTTTAAATGTGAGTATATAAAGTAACCCTTATCACATAATGATAAAGGACCAAAATGCCTATTTTATAGTGTATAGCGTGTTAGTGTAAAAATTAGCATTATATAGAAAAATTGCTATTTGTGCAAATTACATAATGAAAATGTTTGATAATAAAAAGGCAAAACCAGAAATTGGCAAGCGGCTCTCTATAGAGTATAGCCGAAGTCTACCTTATGGGGGCAAATCACAGTAACATTGTAGTAGGAAGAACTACCAGTAACAAGCAGTAGTATCCGGTAGTAGCTGAAGTGTCTAGTAGCAGAACACAGTGAAAAGTTATAGCGAAATAGAAAAAGTTTAGCTAGCCGAAAAAGGTCGTAACTGAAAAATCGCGGTTACACATAGTCGGAAAAAGTGGCAACTGAAAATTCTCAGTTGCATATAGTAAAATAGTGTTAGCTAGCTGAAAAAAGTGGTAACTGAAAATTTGCAGTTACATATAGTGAAAAAGTGTTAGCTAGCCAGAAAAAGTGGTAACGGAAATTTCGCCGTTACATATAGTGAAAAGTGTTAGCTAGACGGAAAAAGTGGTAACTGATATTCGCAGTTACAAAAGTGTTATATTCAACTAATTTTAGTTGATTAATAGCTGCTAGTCAGTAGTGTTAAAAAACCAGCTGCTACCAATAGATATTTTTGATACTACCAATAGAAATTTGTTACTTCCAATAGATATTCAAAATTACCAATAGATATAGTAGAAAATACCAATAGAAACTTGTTACTGCCAATAGAAATTTGATATTACCAACAGATATTTTGAAAATACGAATAGAAGTTTTAAAAAACCAATAGAAATTTTAATATTACTGTGTTTAATTAAATCTGTGTTTTGAAATATATAGTGAACAACCATAGTTGAACAACAGTGTTCAATAAATAAATAAGTTATAATATTTCGCAACTAATTAATCAGTCGAACCGCTGGCCACTCCCTTGCTATTTTAATTTATAAATCGTGCATTTTTAATTCTGAACCTCAGTCCACAGTTCTCCAACAGCATACACAAAGGCGGTAGTGAAAGTATCCTCCAGAACCTATAGGTGTAGGACGTGAGCGGCTCGCGGAGTATCTTCGATAACATTTACTCCGGAGAATTACGCCCGTCCGGCACATTAACTATAACTATTTAACTTATTATATAAATTCGAAATCAATTATTTCAATATTGTAACTCTAAACAAAGATACCTACAATATTTTGCTTGTAATTAAGTCGTGGCGCTGAGAAGACGAAAAAGTTGACCTTCTATCCATGTCCGTGGCGTCGAAAATGTACAATTTGTCTAAAAACTAGTGTCATTCATCTCAATCATCATTCATAACAGCCTATCAAAAGTCCACTGCTGAACAATAGGCCTGCCCTATAGATTGTTTGACATGGGACTAATTGACATAGATGCCACGGGTTAGCAGGAGCGTTGGCCGCAGTTTTTGGAACGAAGTTTCTTATCGGACGGTACGAATTTGGCGGATGGGGGCTAGACGAGAAAAATTGTAAGATTTTTATCCGTCACGACCCCATCTGACGTAGTATAGACGGCCTTGGCCTTTTCTTATCTTGTCATGAAAGAAATATTATTTTATTTTAAATGACGCTTCATTTTAATAGACAGTAGTAATTCATTTATTTAAAGATAAAGATATTTATTTTGTAAAACATGAGTAAAAATATAAAGGTGTTAAAATACTTAAAACGAGCTACATGTTTTGCCATTTATGGCGTACAAAGATTATACTTCATATTTTATTAATTATATAAGATAAACTTTTCAGATAAAGATTTTCAACGTGGTAGAGCCATGCTGCAACTATGGGTCGGCTCGACCGGGGAAGGACCACGCTCTCACAAAATACCAGCGTAAAATAGCAGCTTAACGCTGCTGTGTTTCGTATGGGGAGTGTAGAGAACCGGAGACCCTTTTTACTGGAAAAGAGGCATTCCATCTTAGTCCTCACGGGTGACAACGCATCTGCATTTTGATTCGCAACGAGGATAGATGTGGATGTGTATGGGCCGCAGCAACCACTTACCATCAGGTGGACTGTGTGCTCGTTTGTCACCCAATCCTATAAAAAAAAAAAAAAACTAACCCTACGGACCTAATTCTAGATGTGCAACAATTTCATTGGTATTTCCTAAGATTACATTAGAGAAATGTCACAATTAAAAATTTAGCTTAAAAAATCAATCATTTAAGAAATCGGGCAAGCTGTAATAACATTTGGCTATCAGATATTTTTTAAGATGTAGCTTAAATAACCTGTTATTATCTCGGCGATTGCGAATTGTAACGTCTGATAGTTTGTTAAACAATTGTTTTGCTATTTTTACTAATTAGACGTTTTCAGATCGACCTTACTTTTACATTTGTATAACATTAAATAATATTTAACATTAGTAAATTATATCAATGAATGATATACCTTTTTTTTTTTCAAATTAAGATTCTTAATTATTTGATATTTACAAATGTTATTATTAGGTGAAAATTTAATTTAATAAAAACCAAGGTTTCCATGGTGATTTAGCTGTACCTACTTATATAAATGATTTTTTTATAACAACAAAAAATAGTACAAAAGGTTTGTAATCTCTTCATAAAAAAGTCACTTACTCTCAATTTCAAAGAAAACGCGTAAAACAAACACGTAGTTACCCACTAAAAACAAATATCCTTCCATTTGTAACTTATGTTTGATGTCAAATAAACTTAATTAGGTCTAAATTAGTAAAAAAAACATAATAAAGAACATTACTTTTACACATGGCGGATTGACTGCTGTAGTAGCAACAAAGACTGGAAGTGTCTGTAAATGTGTAAATATCCACTTGATTAACTGTTAACACTTCCAATTGACTTATAAAAAGTGATTTAATTATTTTTTAACTGGCAACACATGTATATTTATTGCATCCTCTTGAGATCTCGGTTTGTGAGATTCCAAATAAATAACCTAAAATAATAACAAGTAGTTAAAAGATATATTTTATATAGTAGTATAAGTAAATGTCTGAAAAAAATATATCCCTTTGCCTTTAAGCTTAATTGCTATAGAAACACACAGATTACTGTACAGTGTACAACTATACAGAGAAAATTATGTTTTTCATAATTTATCATACATATTTATAAGTAATATATAAAAAATATATAATTTTTGAAAATGTATTTTCCTGCAAAAAAAATCTCTTCGACTGTAATTGTCAAAGTGGTATTTGTAAGAAAGAGATAGCTGCACAACAACCAAACCTCTGCTGTTTATACTTTTGGTTTTGCTGTAAATTAAACGTAGATTTTTCTATAAAATAAAAAATAAAAATTTAGCACGTTTGTATAGAGTGCACTTGCTCTGTATTCTTAAAAAAAAAATAGCCTATGCAACTTAATTATTACAAAACACGAAATAAAATGGCCGTCTTAAAGATCATAATATTATGCTCTCTTATACAAATAACGTGGGTAAACACGATTCTCGTGATTGTTGGTGCTTGCTATTTGTAAGCAATTTACAACTTTACGTGTCACGTATAAGGTTCAGTTTACCTCTAATATTGCCATTCTCACTGTATATTTAAGCCTTTATTGGTCTAACTATAGTTTCCATTTCATGATACTATTATATATTATGTAGATTGTACGTTTATAACTGGTAATTGAATTCCTTAACACCTGTTATATTGTTATTATTTTAGGATTTGTCTTATTTATTCTATTTCACGATGAAGTTTTGACTTTGGTTGTGTTAGCCGTGCACATACAAATTATGTTAGTGTGCGTAGGCCTCGGCAGCGTTCAGTCACGATCGCGAGTCGAACAAATCGCAGTTACACGCACAAACGCGCCTGTCGGTACACGTCACTACTACAATCAAGGCGAAACCTTTATCGTGAAATAACTACCCGTTTAACTATTGAATCTGTCAAAAGTGGCATCAAGAGTAAGCATAATACCGCCGCTAGAGAGGTGCCAGCTACGTAAATTAGTTTCTTAAGTTATTTTTGTCTAATCTCTAATTTATTGGTATATTTGTGAAAATGGTTGGTATCTGTAAATATTGAAAATTTGTCAACTTATTTGAATAAATTTTTGTATTTACTACCCTAGTTTTTTTGGTTTTATTGAATTAGAGTCTGTGGTAGAAGAGGCAATAGAGGGAATTGAAAGAGGAGGTTGGAGCAACATCTTCCTGACAACATCTCAGAATAATAAAGGAACTTCGATTGATAAACTTATTTTAACTTATTATAATTATTTAACTGTTCGCGACGGTTTTAAAGACTTTAAGCAAAAGTGATGAAAAAATATTAAATTGTTTAAAAAGTGAAATTAATAACAAAATCGAGCGAATTATGTATTAATATTAATGTCGCCTGGGTCGGGTCACAATCAGAATTATGGATGTGTGTTGGGGCGCCTTGTCAAGTTC